GATTTCAAATTGATTCTTCAGAAATCAGATTTCCATGTAGCAAAACAAAGCAATTCAAAATAATAAATATAACGTTTCTCTTTTCCCTTTCATTGAAGTATTGACAAATCTAAGTAAACCTAATAAAGACAATTTAAAATTATCAAATAAAATGTATTTTTTTAATTGTGAAAGAGATATAAAACTGAAAAATTAATTCCAAGTAAAAATTACAGAAATGAAATATAAATATTTAAAATGGGTAAAATGAAAAACTTACAATAATTTTTATAAACACACGAACCATTAAAAGATCAAAATAATGTGAATACTTACAAACTTAAAGATGTGCCAAACAATTAAATGTTTTAAAATACAAAACTCCAAACTAAAAATGTGAAAACTCACAATTTTTTTTGAAAATGTCTAAAAATGAAAAATATGCATATAATAATATAAATAATAACATATCAAATAAATATACGGAGTATAAAATTTGAAAAAATTCTAAAAGATTAAATTAAAACTTATATAATAAAAAAATATAAATAGACAACATAAAATTATAAAAAAATCAGAAGATAATGTAACCTAAAAGTGTGTAAAATTAAAATATACTCAGAGAATAAAAAACGAAAATAAAACATAATGAACACTAAAAAAATCAAAAAATTGAAAATGAATTGTCTTTACAATATTTTTTGATGTACTTAATTTTTTAGCTATTATTATTTTGTTGTCCGGTTTTGTTTCCTTATGTTTCTTTTTGTTGATAATACTTATATTTTTGTTTTTTATTGTTTCTTTATGTTTCTATATGTTGTTTACATTCATAAATCCAAATTTGTGATTTAGTTGTTTGCATACAAATCTATAAAAGAACAATTATTCCCAGGAAGTAACAAAGATGAGGAGAAACCTAAATATTAAACAACAAAAATCGAAATCAACAATAATGAGCAACACATTGTAACAAAAAGCAACATGATACAACAAAAAGAAACATAATGCAACAAAAAGTAACATATCTGATACAACAAAAAGAAACAAAAAACAACATAAAGTGTATCACTTTTAATATATAATTCAATCGATTATATAATTTATTACATCTATCTATTGTATTATTTGACTTTGCTTGATCACTCTCTTCTTCATTGGATGCATCTTAACGCGGAACCCATCAAGTTTGTCTCTCGTGTCCTCATTTCCTATTTGAGCTTCTTAGTCTGACTATGATCTCTGGCCTTGTACATCTTTTATGCACCTATAATTTGAATGAAATCAATATTATAACATAAATATGGAAAAAAGATATCAAAGGGATCCTGGTGAATTGGAAGATATCATGTTTAACCTTTTCAAAGATTGAGGTTAGAGTGCTCTCTTCGTCCGTAGGGGCATGCGCTGTAACATTTTTTAGCTACATCTAATATCTTCCCTGAATCTTCAGCATAACGGACATCAACACATCTCTCTTGTTTGTGTTGATAGAATTGTAGTAACAGATTTCTCCATGGACATTCACAGGAAATTCAACCAAAGCCATGTACATCCACTAATAAAGGTAGCACAATACGATCAAGGGATATACATACACGTTTGTTACATGCTCATTGAAGGACATAATAATTAATCAACTACAAGCAAAGCCTATTAATCCTTATATAATAACAATAGTAATATATTTTGGTAATTTCGCTGCCCAAACACGAGGGATCAGAAGAGGGAACTTAAGGATAATGAGTACACAAACAATTCATTCATAAATGAAGGGATACCCGTAACTAATGATATGTCAAAGAGAGTAAACTTAAGGATAAAGTTTAGCATCCAATTACCTTCAAAGTTGAACACAGATCGAGTATATGGATGGGGGACCAAATTTCTTACTAAAATTCTTTCTTGCTTCAAATGCAGTTGCAATATTTATGGATATACTCTATGGAGTATCTTTTATATGATGCACGTTACAAAAAAATGCTAAGATTCATTAAAGGTGGATTATATAGTTATTATTATTATTGCGTATGAAGTAGGGGTGAATTGGATACAACTTTCAGTCATCTGTCAAGATAGAATTTGCCCTTTCAAGGTCACAGGGGCCAATAGGGTTTGTTCTAGAGCAAACAACATCAATAAATATGATTTTCCAGAAAAAAATAATAAAAGATGAAATCTGAGTAAGAGTAAAAGTTCAAATTAGAAATCCAATGAAATTCCGGATAGTGGAAATTTCAGGTAAAGATGAATCTAAGAAGAAAAATATGCTAATTGAGTTGAATTTAAGGTTAAAAAATAGTCCGAAGAAAATATAAATCTGAAACCATCGCAACGTACAATATCACAAGTACAAAACTGAGATTTTAATCTAAAAAGCTATAAACAAACCAATAAATTCAATTCATATTGAAGATATAGTGATTAAGCACATACCGAAGCAGCCGAGCAAGTAGGGATGGATGAGAAAGGGCGGAGCCGCAAAGCAGCAAAGCCTGAGAGACTGGAGAATGCCGCCGGCGCAGGGCGGGAGAGGAACAGCCGCGCTTTCTTCGATGCGCTCGAATCGTCTGTACTGGTAAGGCCATACCTGAAAGCGCTTGATCTACTTCACCAGTAAGAGAGAACGAGAGGGCGAGAGATGATGAGTGGATGAGTTGTGAAAAGAGAGACGACGGATGGAGAGGATGAAGTAGGGAAGGAGACAGTCTGCCAGAAATCGTCGATCATTATTCAGGGGTTGCTTTGATTTAGGTTATTTCTGAAATAAAAAAAAAAAAGTGAAAAGATGAAAGTTTAAAATTGAAAAATAAATGATACGGACACATAAATGAAATGCATTTATAAAAGATGGACCTTTCCGGATATTTTCCACAATTATATATGTACCAATATATCTTTTCACATGGTTGCGAATGGGCTGATAATCGAAAAAAATTCTTTTGATAAAAGTATCTAGTTACAATTCCTTGATTTATTATGTATTGATTTTGCAAATATCAATTAGGTAATGATGTGACAATATAATTGAGATATCACAACTCATCATCATTTTAAGATATCCCAAATGTATATACAGGGTCGTGCCTATGTTGAGGCTGCTGACTGCTGAGGCACAAATTATATTAGTATATATAGGAAAATCGTCTGTGATGAAATCGATTTCATTTCATCATTTTCATTTACGCTAGTGCCGCAAAGGCTCCCACCTACGGTGTGATGAAATCGATTAAAAAAATAAAAATAAAAACATCTCCTGGTTTCTTCTTAAGAAGGTTTCGGTATATAGCACATCATACTTGAAATGCGTGATATTAAACTATGCAATCTATTAAAATATTCCACCAAAGGTTAAAGTTTAATATTCCACCAAAGGTTAAAGTTTAATATTCCACCGAAGGTTAAAGATTTTTTCTGGCAACTATGTACGAATTGTTTACCTACATCAGATGAGTTGTTAATGAAGAAGTCAAGAAGGTGGTTTGTTACCAGGGGTGTGTTCCTTGTGCTCAAGATAGAGAATCAGCACTTCATGTGTTCGGGTCATGTGTGGTGGCAAAAAAGGTTTGGGAGAAACTAAAGTGGATTGTAAATGTTGATGATTCATTCTGTAACTGAATGGGCAGAAGTTTTTATCATGGTGCATCAGGAGGAAAAATGTTGCAGGTTTTTTATGCTTTTATGGAGCTTATGGCAGGCTAGAAATGAGGTATTGTGGAAGAAGTCTCATGCTGGTGTAGGGAGTATTATTGCAGTGGCTGATGCATTTCTTGATGGATGGAGAATGGCTCAAATGACAGCCCCTGAAGCAGGAAGAATTGCAGCAGCTCCCAAACATTGGATTAAATCGAGAGAGGGCCGTTTAAAGGTCAATGTGGACAATGCGGTGAAGGCAGGGGGGACTGCAGCGGGTTGGGTTAGGTGGTAAGGGACTATAGAGGGTCTTTTATTGTCGGGGGAATAAATAAAAGACCCGAGTTTGTCAACCTCGCGAAGCTGAAGCCCTTGCGATAAGGGAGGACTTTAGTTGGATTAGGGACTATGGCTTTGATTTTATTAATGTGGAATGTGACACAACCCAAGTTATTAAGAGTATTCAGGATGGTTCAGATGATTCGTCCGTCGATGTCATTATTGGTGATGTAAGAGATATTATGACTAGTTTCACTAATATTTCTATTTCTCATGTGAAGCGGTCAGCGAATCGGGTTGCTCACGAATTAGCGAGGGCAACCGTTTCTATGTATTATTGTTATGTGTGGCATACCACGCCTCCATATTGTATTCTGGATTCCTTAAACTTTGATTTGATTAATAATATGTAGTTTGACTTCCTTAAAAAAAAATAGTTGTGCATCACACTAGCTTCGAAAGTTTGTGATTTGTGAATGAATGAAGTGCAATGATGCAAAGTTTGGGATATGTAGTGGGATGCATACATTCATGTAGTTGATCAATGAAGAAAAATTAATTATCAATACGTCTGTGATTTTTGAAATTTTACCTTGCTTAACAAAAACAACTTACCAAAATGTTGTACTTGCAAATGAAAAATGTTGAAGCATTTCCAGAGTTGTTATTGTGAACGCAGTTAAGTAGGGTTATTTTATAGGTGAGAACTCTAGTACCCATTTAAAAAATGGGGTACCGTACCTACCACTCACTTGATTGGTCCAAATAGGTATATCATTTTTAATTTGGACTTAAATAATTCAACTGCAACATTCTGATTGGTCCATGGCGACAAAGGTAAGATACTATCATAAATACCTATTTTATAACCAATGCGTAGTATATCAGAAGATTATTTGGTGGAAATGTGTAATATTCCACATCCAAAAAATTACTTGCTTGTTCTATACTTTTAATCTATTAGGAAATTTTTATTGGGGACATGTGCCCCTCTATATACTAGGTGCATCCGCCCATGTAAAGATTAATAAAACCTCAATTGTAAGATGAGGAAGAACCCAAGATTCATTCGTACTTTGAATCTGATTAGATTCTTAGTATTTAAATAAATAAAAACAGAATGTAAGAAGATAAATCAGAAGAAACCCAACATAAACCGGACAAACAGATTTGTAAAGAAAACGAACAAGATGCAGATTTCTTTTGTTAACATAAACGACACCTTGTGTAGATGAACAATCCATGAACATCGATATGTCGATTTCACAGCATAGTTTGCGGTCTATCTGGAGTAGCAATAAAGTGCTTAACCATCGATGCCGCCCATCAAACTGCTAATGAGGTATCTTAGATAGTTAGAACCATTTTTTTTCAATCATGTGGTTCACATTACCGTGAGTAAATATGATCACAGATCACCAGTTTTGATGTTACATTAGTATTTATTTGGAGATGGTTTGAATACCAACCTATTAATCACATTACCGCACTGGTTGACCTCGACATGTTATATGCCAAACATTTATCAAATGCGAGTCTAAGAAAGTTTTTTCATTGTTATTTATTGGAAATCAAATTTCTACATTTTAATTGGATAATCATATCATGTAAAAGTAGATCAAAGCGTATGCAGACTCAGAAAGATATGCAAGAATAACCAGAAAAATGATAGGTAGCCCCGTGTAACCACTTAAAGAGTGTTTTCATCAAACTAACATTTACTTGAGCATCTTCTTGCCCCTAACTTAACTCATTTATAATAAGTTCACAGATATCTAGTGTATTTAACACCAACTCCAAGAAAGGAAACTCCAGGTTGAGGCTGCCGCACGCTGTTCTCCTTGAGACATAAAAACTGGTATGCCAATTCCATAGTTTACATTCCTGTCTTCAGAAAGGAATACAAGCTTAGTTTAAACAACATACCGATACGTAACATAGTCCCCTGCGGTCCCACTTTCCCTGGTGATTTTCACAACTTGACCACGCCTTAGCCCATAGTACTTGGCAACAGGGTCATTCACAAATATCCGCGGCAGCTGCCTCACAAGGGAAAAAGTATATTAGGCATCTTCAGTGGCAGGACCGCTAGACCAATTTAGAGGAAATGTATGGCAGCAAACAGTTTAATAGAAAAGAAAATCACTTTTGTCCTCACAACTATTTGGTCATTGGTAGAATCTGGTTCCAAACTTTCATTTCCTCAACCTTTGGTACACAACCATGCATGTCTTGCCACATTTGGTCATCTTGGACACTTCTTAGTGAAAATCAACCCTAACTTGTAAGGAAATTGGCTGTATTAGAGATCAGAAGGACCAAAAGTCGCAAACAATCCATAACTGTGTCCCAAAAGAAGAAAAGAAGAAAGTCGGCACAATGAAATGCCGTAATAGTCATGGGACCAAAAGTAGAAATTCTCTAATGTTTGACATGTCACATTGTACAGAACAATCACATTACAATCTCAGAGATGCTGCTTCTTAAGGCGGCTTGTCTGGTTGGGAGATTTTTTCAGGGTGGATTGATTTTTGTTTTGATAAGTTATCTCAATTTGTACGGTTTAAACTACAAAATAATTATATATTTAGTTGAATCATGGATCTCTTTATGATAGACTTATAACACAAAACTCCCCTTCCCTCCATAATCCCTCAACAAAAGAAATGCCTTAAGAAACATATCCATCCATATAGAAGTGTGTGTTTGTGTCACACATACACAGTTACACACAAAACGGGATGTAGCAATGTCACAGTTCAGCTTGTGCAACATGGGGACAGACACACTCACCAAATCAAAAGGTGCAATTTACAAGAAGAAAGGAATAAGAATATGATGATACTTCAAAAGGCTGAGATCACAATTCAATATGAATCACAAAAACAGTCATTTGAAAGGAGGTTTGACTAGTAAACTATTGTCCTGCACTCTGATTTCAAATAAAGAAAATCAATCCATGGCTTCATCATCATCATTACCCCAGTGCCGCAAAGGCTCCCACCTACGGTGGGTAAGGGGGGGTCGGATGTACGCAGCCTTACCCCTATACTAAAGCACAGAGAGCTGTTTCCGGATGACCCATGGTGAAAATTACATTGACCGTTGCATGGACTGATTGCTACTTCATAACAAAGAAGCGCAGACAGTTTAGTGAACCACTTTGCTTTATTCCATCATATTCCCAAACCAAAAAATAGTGAATCTTTGGCTCCATTGCAAATGGAAAGTATCCATGGCTTCATGCAATACTTAAATTATCCCTACTTAAAATTATCAACAACAAAAAACAGTAGAGGATAAATAACCTGTGATTCTTTGACAGTATATTTCTCCAACAATCTCTTCTTTTCTTCAGTTGTAAGCAGCTGGTGAGCAGGAACAAGTTCATGCTCCTTTATGTTGAACAATAATTCGGCCTCCTGCATCATTGCACTAATTAAAGACCAGTCCAGTCCATCTAATAGTTATTCCATTTGTTATTAGATATATTAAAGCAACTTGAACAATGTAAAAGTTGGATGATAGTCTTAGTTTTTATTCAAAATCTAATACATCTATTTCTTTTATCCTTGCATTACTATTCAAATATTCTATAATATTTTCAAATCTCATTCCAAAAACTTCACTCAGAACAACTAACCCTTCCAATGGTAATGGAACTTTTAATACTTGATTATTAATCTTCAATTTCTCCTTACACCGTAGTTTTATTTCCTGCAACATTTTGTTAATGACTCGATGTGGTTTAAGTTTCCATCATTTTCAATGGATCCAAAAACACTATTTTTTGGCTTGAGAATATGATGGAATAAAGCAAAATGACTCACTAAACTGTCTGCGCTTCTTTGTTATGAAGCAGAAGTCAGTCCATGCAATTTTTGTAAATTTCACACGTGTGCAAATTTCACATGTAAGTATGATGCGGTAACTCGGTAAGCAGACTTTAATCATACTACGTATCACATAAAACTAACTTTTTAGCAAGCTCTGAGATCGATTCTCATAAATATTATATGGTGCTTGAGACACGAATTTGGAGTTAAGAATATACAGTAATAAGATTCAGGTCAGATTTTGGGTTCTGAATATGACGGAGATGTTGAGGAAAAAAGACTAGTTATTGGACATGTACATTGCAATCAGGTCGGGTAGTTAGTTGGAGTGTTACTTCACAACATCTAGTAGCATAATCCATCATGTAAGAAAAATAATATGTCACTCATATTATTGCTGTCTTTTTTGAATAATTTCAACCATATAAGTTTTTCAAAAATAACTTGACTAAAGATCGTGTGCATGATTGAAAGTAAAAAGATATAGCAAGTACTGTGTTGCACATGTAGGAACAGAGATGAGGTTGGGTAATCTCCTTTTTTCGCACTTCAGTCTAATAAAGATCATTACATACCCTCCCATGAACATAAGACAGATCCCCCTAACTGCGTAAATTTTGTTCTCTTTTTTATTTATTATATCCATACATATAGTGTAAGAGGGAACACGAAGGGCATTTGCCATTAAAAGTAATTGCTGTGTTTTTTACATGAACTTGTTGTACTAATTAATTTGATAATTTAGGCAAAATAATTTGTAATATAATGATGATTGTCAGTGTTCTTTTGTGGTTTGAAGTTAGTATAAAATATCAACAAAAACACATATTTTACCAAGTGAGAGAGCACTATTTACCTCAAAAACATCGATGAGATATAATGAAGATGCTGCAGCTATGCAGGCACGAGCTTGTGGAGCCAATTTCTTTTGGAGAATCAAAATTCCCCTGGTGATATCTTCTGCTTTCATGCGTTGAAGACAACCTCTTATATTCTTAACACCAATCTTGCTATCGTTGGGGTAGAAAATCATGATCTGAATCAGGAAATGCACTTTACATAAGCAAAAGAAGATAAAAGAATGCATATGCAGTGCATGACTGCATTCCAAAATTGTAGTTCTGAAATAAACTAACATGAGTCAAAAGACCACGAAAATTCTCACAAATTACAATAAAAGCTAAAGAGAAAGCGAAATCTGAAACTTGTGAGCATTGAAAATAAGCAGGAAAGATAAAACGAAATCTCAAAACTACAAAAGTTGCAGATTGTAACTGAAATAAAAGGCCTTAAAGTATGATACTCTGATCAAATACCTTATTAGAACTGTCGTTGTGCATCTCCTTTTGCATTTCGAGGTTCTCTCTCGTCACACGGTCACCATATTTGGCAATAAAATCCGCTCTAGTCAAATTAATCTCAGCATCTTCAACCATGTAGCCCCTGTCTCGCAGCATACTCATCACAGTCTTATGAACCGTAAATACCGTCGTCTTCTCTTCTTCCGTAAAGAACATATTTGCGCTGTGTATTAAACCTAATGATAACAAGAGTTTGAAGAGCAAGCTTTGTTTCTTCAATTTATTAGCCCATGTAAATAGTTTAAAGAGACAGAAGAGCTAACCAGAGTGAAAAAGGAGCGCAAAATTAGGTTAGAATCCAGGTAAATTTCATAATTTCATCGTTCCCTTTTTAATTATATTACGTGTATTGAAATATGACACTATCTATTTTAAAGATGATAATAGTGATAAATTGATGATATTATTTTTAAAATATAAGTTATTTATGAATAAAATAGTAAAAATAAAAGTATACACAAATAAAAACACATTTTATTTAAAAAGAGACATTCTTTGGACACATAATTACTACCAAATTGGTAGAATTCCTCTACTAATCATGTAAAATTAAGTAATACCGATTTCTTAAAGGAATTTAAATTAACAACCTAATAAGTAATTAATAACATATTACGGAGTACACCAAGTTGTTAATTATAATTAACAAATTAGTTTAATTACTAATGATAAAAAAATAGTTTAATTACTTCGGCAATTGGCTAGAGAAAATAAAAAATAACATCCTAATTTGTTAAATTTCATCATAGATTAGAAGGCTTAATGGAGCATTTTTAGGCACTAATAATCCTAAATAATTAAAATCAGCAATTCAATCACAATATACTTTGTATAACATAATAATCAAGAAGATTAATAAATGATAATCCATTAATCCAAACAAATTAAGAAAATCAATCTTTATAATTCAGAGGAGATAAACTTACCTGGGCGATGAATGAATCGTGGTGTGTTGAGGCGTTGGAGAGGAGTCAGAGGACTGGAGGTGAGAGGCGTGGGGCAGTGGCGGCCTGGCGCTGGCGCTTGGTGGCGGAGGAAGACGCTCAGTCCTTCGTCGTCGTCCTTCCGTCCTTCACGACTTCACAGTCTCCACTCCAGAGCAGCGGTTCTTCTGATTTCCCGTGACAAGTCTCTAGTTGCCTAGTTGGGTGGGTCACTTCGTTGGATGGGGGGAGTCGGGGGAATTTGGGCGTAGGTATGAAGTTGGGCTCAGGTAGGAAAGTATAATTTGGGCTGAGTTATAGTACTAGTTATCTTTTTTGGGCCCTTCAAAATTTCGAGCCCCGTGCGGTTGGGCTGGGCAGCCATGCCCTGGGGCGGCCCTGGATCTGTAAAATATTTTTTTATTACTCATTCCGTAATACGGAGTATTAACTATTTTCTTTTTATAATTTTTTGAGGCTAACATTATAATTAAAACAATGTAAAACTAATTATTCACATTTTTAAAATAGGTATATTAAATACCATTCAAATATTAAAATTAAGAATATTTTGAATAACATGAGAAAGAAATAGAGGAAACCTAATAATTAGAGTTATTTTATTGTCAAACGGAGATTGTTATCATCTGTAATGGACTAAAATGAAAATCAACCTAAATTTCAAAAGTGAAAAGGAAAGAAATAATTTTGCAGATGTCTAAAGAAAAATGTAGTATTTTGTAAGAACAAAAACATATTTAAACCTTCATAATACTATGTATACTCCATAGTATTTTTTATAGGCTAAAGGGTCGAATAGGCCCCTGAACTTACTTCAAGTGTTCAATTAGCCCCTTATATAGGAGGTTCTGCCCGGCCGTCGCCAATTGGGGAGGTTCACGGTGGAATTTTTTTATGAAAGTTTTTGAGCATCTTCTTCATTAAGTCTAGTTTGCTCATACTAAATTTCAGCTAAAAATTCAACCGAGAAGGCAGTCAAATGATTTTCCGAAATGTACTGCACTGTTTAACTTCGCAGTTATCTTCAAAAAAATCATTTGACTGCCTTCCCGGTTGAATTTTTAGCTGAAATTTGATATGAGTAAACTAGACTTAATGAATAAGATGCTCAAAAAATTTCATCAAAAAATTCCACTGGGAACCTCCCCAATTGGCAACGGCCGGGCAGAACCTCCTACATAAGGGGCTAATTGAACACTTTAAGTCAGTTCAGGGGCCTATTCGACCCTTTAGCCTTTAGGAAATGATACCTTTTTTGGATCTATGTGCATCAGAATTCAAAACTTCCCGGGTATGTAACTGTACCACTTTAGGGTACCACGGGTCGAGTCGGGTAATACATGTTCGGGATGGGTTAGGGTCATGTGCTAAGTTTAGAGAATCCAAACAGGATGGGGCGGATCCTAAAAAATTAGGACCCGTGCGCGTATAAAAAATAAAAACCGAGAACCCTGACAGAACCGACCCATTTTAAATGGTGCGGGTAAGATCTGGTTCTTATTTTGAGATTTGGTATATTCGTATTGAACCTGACTTTTAAATGGAACCGACAATTTTGAAAATTTATCAATTACCCTGACCGATCCGGGCCATGCCCACCCCACTATCACTTGATATAATGGCCATTAACAATCCAAGCATAACTTTGTTTAACATTATTATGTTAGATTGTTGGCCCATATAGTACCGGATGAGTTCTTGTTGTATTTCGAATTATGTTATGATCAGTGACAGAGTGAGAAAAACGGCTCAGGGGGGTCGAAACTCAACCTATATACAGAACGAAAATGGCGGATCGCTTTTTAAACAATGTCCAAGTTGAATATTTTATACTTCGTATGCACCAAAATCGGCTGTTTTGGCTGATTCTGCTGAAATTTATGAAGTTCTGGCTGAAGTGGCTGCATTGGCTGATTCTGCTGATTTAAGAAAAAAATATTTTGAAAATACATTTTATTAATAAAATAAAGAAAAAATTATATGTAAAAATAGCTAAAATAGTCATCTACGGTAACTTCAGCCAATACAGCCAGAAAAGTAACTTCAACCTTACTTTTTTTTTCTTATTACACAATTCAGCGCGCGAAAACAAAAGTTACGTGTTTGGTGAAAAAACTGGCTCATAAGCCTGATAAGCCTGATAAGCCAAAAAACTGGGTTGCCAAACGGGCTCTAAGTCTAGTTTGATCTAGTTTTTTTTTATGTCTGAATTGAGATCGATACAAATCCAAATGAAAACATCCCTAGAGTTTTAGAGTTTATAAATATAGAATTGGTGTCATTTACCTAACCTCGATTAGAGTTTTAAACCCGTTTTGAAATTTAAAAATCTGTTTGGGTTTGGTGTATTTCATTTCGGACCTAGACTCGAATCCAATATGATTAAATAATAGGTAAACAAATTGCATAAATTTAAAAATATACAAGTTTTTTAAGTTTGAAGTAGTTGCAATTAATTTAAAAATCGACCTGTATCTAGTTTCGTTCGAATAGCTTATAGGGAAAAAGACTCTAATAAGACTAAAACATAACCTATATACTTAAATAAATAGGACGGACTACTTTTATATACCTAAATAGGAGTAAAATTGATCGATGGGACAAAAGTACCCTTCATTAATTCGGAGCCGCATGCAGATTTATAACAGGGTTATCGTTCATGCCAAGCGGATAATGACTATGGATCAGAGTTATCGTTCTTGTCGATCGGAGCTCAGAATCATTGTTGGTCCGCCGCTGATTGCCGTCCGAGAGCTCGCCGGTTCGAGTCATCACCGGAGTGGTCGCCGATGGCATGGCCGGGACTCCGGATAGGCTCCTCCTTATTTCTCCCCTCTTCCAAGCTGTTAGGAGATTCTTCTATCCCCATACATCTGCCGAAGTGTAGATCTGCTATTAGTTTTTTTTTGTGGGTTCTTCTTCTTCTTACCATGTTCTTCCGTATCTTTTTTGTTGTTGTTTTACTTTTCATTATTTTGTTTAAATTTATTTTGTAGATTAGATTCAGGGTTCATTATTTATTTTGTCAAATATTTTTGTAGTTGATAATAGATTACTAAATATCAATAATCTCTTCCCTTAAAGCAACGAATTGCTTTGATCCGCTTGGTAGGAGCTTTTCCGTGAAGCACACGGACACACGGTCTCTATACGATTTGGTAGAAATGATTTAGTTTGGAATAATGGAATTATTATGGGAACCGGCTGCTTTAACGGAACAGATTGAAACCTATTAATTGGATTATAATAACATTCTTTTAAACAATGTCATCCTATTCCATGCCATTTAATGAAAGTGGTTTTTATACAATGAAACTATATTACATTGTCATAGGATAACATTGACTTTCAAATAATGATATTATACTGCATTATCAAATAATGATATTGACTTTTAAACAATGACATTATGTTATGTTATCATATAGAGGCAATGAGTCCAGGGGCGGCCCTGGGGGAAGCAGGTGGGGCGGGTGCCCTAGGCCCAAAAAAAATGAAAATTTTTTAGGCCCAGAATTATTTCTTTATAGTATATTTGAGTAGGCTGAGTTTTAACCCAAAATTAATAATTTTGTACAAGTTCAGAAGCCCAAGAACGCAAAAGGCCCAAAATTGAAAGAAAGGAAGAACTAACGTGCAGTCCAATTAGTTAAATTTATAAATTTAACTAATTGATTAGCTATATTAAGTATTGAGCATAATAATGTCTTAGAAAAGCTTGATTATGACGCTATAGTTGATGATACCGGCCTTAGCAAGTGTATTGTATCGGGGCGTTATTTATCATTAAATAATTTTTTATTCGGTTATTTTGAAAACATTATTCGACTATGTTTAATTTAACGAATTCAAGTATTTTCTTTATTCTAAAGATATTTAAATATTATTATTTTGCATTTTTATTTAGGTAGAAAAGTGTTTTACAAGTTTTTTTTAAAATTATGCCCATTTTTTATTGTTCGCCCCTAGGCTTTCGAATATCCAGGGCCGCCCCTGAATGAGTCAATGACATTTTTGGAAAGTATTTCATTATTCATTTTGACAAAGCTATTCTTTAATACTGAAGTAGTATTTCATTTATTGTGACATTTTTAGCAATTTAATGTCTTTATATGTTGTATATGATATTGTAATGTAATGTCATTGTTTAAATAGAGTGATAATGTTATGAAAATGTCATATTTTTAAATAATTTTGTTACGGGTGAATAATTATGTCAAAATGTAGAAATAAAAAATATCACAAGGTCCAGCCTTATGATTATAAAGTATAAACATGATCACTAACAAAAATTATCAGAATATTGTAAATATTGTTACAGTGTAGGGAAAATGTCACAAATCGTGACAATGACAATGTCGTAAAAATGACATTGTAATAATGTCAATGACAATATGATACCAATGTCAATCATTATAAGAATGACATTGTTTAAAACAAGTGATATTAATAAGTGACATTATATAGTTAATAAGGGACATTGTTAGTAAGTGACAATATGACATTGTTAAGAAATGTCATTGTTTAATAACAATATGACATTGTTGAGAAGTGTCATTGTCTAATACCAATATGACATTGTTAAAAAGTGTCATTGTTTTTTATGATGCTATTGCGATATTATGACATTATGTAAGAACATTATGACATTGTGATACCGAAATTGTACAATGGTCAAGAAATAACGTTGTGTTCATTGATAATATTGTGATATTATGACATTATGTAATAATATTATGAAAATGAAAGTGTAACATTGTTAAGACGTGAATGTGTTTTCGATGATGACATTGTGATATGACATTACGTGTTACATTCTAATGTTAATATTGTAACATTCAAATAGTAACATTGTTTTTAAAATGTTGTCATAATTCTCCATAAGGAATAATATGTCCATGCTAAAAAAGTATTAAAAAAAAGTTTATATTGCACTATAAAAGTTAAAACAAAAGATGGGAGTTTGCAAGTTTTTAGAGTAACACTGGGTTTCAATTTCTTCAAATTAGAAAGAGGAAACAAAAAACAATTCCTTTCAAAAAAATCAGTCTCCCCCAATTCGAAAAAACACTCTCTGTGTCTCCACAATGAAGAATGTTATCCCTTAGGCTCCTCCAAGTCTCCACAAAAAGTCAAAAACACTGCCGCAACTATGGCGACCCAGAACACCTTAGCTAGGGAACAACATTCCCACCTGCAACTCTCTTAGATTGTGTGAGGGTTTAGCCTTTTACCATTCGGAATGA